AATTTTGACTATCATCCAGTCTCTAAGTGGATGCAAGAAGTTGGCAAACAGGTTTTAATATTGATATAAAGTTCACAAAATCGAACATTTTCCCCTCTTGGTAACCATAGCAACAGTGTTGTTTTATTCATCAAATTTTATCAATATATGATATTCAACTTCAGTTCTAACAGATAAGTACTATTCAAGCTGAGTCCTTTAATTTGTTTCTTGATTAAATGGCAATTTAATTCTTAATGCAGCGAAAAATAATTCACTTTTAAGAACTGGTACTTTGTTTCCATGGTAACACTGCAAAGTAGCAATTATACCCAATTTTTCTTATTGTTTTGGTGTTGCAAGGTCCTAAAGATGCATATTTGCCAGTCTTGAATTTTCATGTTTTTCCTCAAGACAGTAGCATTAACCCAATCTTAGTTACTGGTTTTGCATGGTTACGCTGTATTACCATGGCAACCATAAAAGTTATTTATAGAATAATATTGCTTATACTTATATACTTAAGGTCAAACATTTTGATTGTTTTTCTTCTGTCGTTGATTGACTTTGAGCATGTAACACCTACCATTAGTGAATACTGAGTGTTTTTCAGCATATTTCAGCATTTTAAATGTATTCCAAATGTACCCTTGGTTACCACTTACTTAGAGATATATTCTAAACAGTTTCTTTACAGTATAAGTGACATCAAGGTGTCATGTTTTTGTGAGAATGGTTTGTTTGCTTTTTTAGTTTTTATTAAGCCACAGTCAAGATTTAAAGTGGCTGAAAATCTCAATTTTTCAAACTTTTCCGGCTGTTGCCATAGCAATCGAGACAAATAGCAACGAAATTTTGTTTGATATTTGTTTCTGGTATCAAGTACTAAGCATGGGTAAAATTTCATCAAAATCGGTGACCATGCGTGGCAACGAAGTTTAAGTGGTTACAGAGAATGGCTATTAAAATGTTTCAGTGAAAAACAGTTTCCAAACATTACGAATATAAACAATTTACAAAATCTTGATAACTTTTAAATTTTGGGGCCATTTTAGGGCATTGGAGCCCTCTTCCTCTTTCAGAATATGTTACCTTGGTGCTCAAAGTGTAATATAAACTTTATAAAAATATACCAAGCCAGGTGAATCTTATGAGGAAAAACAAAATGACAAAAATTCAGCAATATCACATAGGCTGATTTTCATAATTTTGCTTTTCCTCATAAAATTCACATGGCTTGGTAATTTTTTTTAAAGTTTATATTACACTTTTAGCACCAAGGTAACATATTCTAAAATTTGTTTTCATTTGTAAACCATTACTGAGTGTTATTTGTCTATATTTGTTTTTTTTATTGAAATATTACTAATATTTTCCAAGTCTACATCATTTTCCAGTTCTTGGGAGAAAAAATTCTAAGAACTAGAAAAGAAACTCGTTGCGAGCAACGAGAGGTCTTCCGTTCGATTCTGAAAATCCGCAAAAACGAGCTGATTAAGTGATAAAACTTTTTATGGAAACAAAGGGGATTGAACCCGAGTCGCCAGCGTGAAAATCCAAAAAGCTTACTATTACACTATTGGGACCACAGGTCTTAATGTACTTGTATATACTTCTGCAACAGTACACCTGCCCTATTGTATTTATTTTCAATAACATAAATCAGATCTTGATACAATAATGTTAATATAAACTCCATTGAACGATCTTTTTTAAAAAAAAGAAAAAAAAATGTTTTCTTACAATTTTCTTTTCTATCTGTTTAATATGACAGAAGTGTGCATGAGCAAAACAGTGGTTACGCGTTTGATACTTACTATGTACATCGATATTGTTTCTTAAAAACATTTACTTATAACTATGATTTAAAATCTGATTTTCCGCAAAAAGCAAAATATATTATGTATCGTATTACATTATCACATTTAGTCTTTTCTTTTTCTTCTCTGAGAACCAGCCAAAGCTAATTACAGAAGACGTTTGAGACGACTATGGATTAAAATTTAGTTTGACACAGAATTGCATCGTAACTACGACGTGACAATCCAAGTTTTCCTTTACATTTCATTTATCCTTAGGTTACTTAAGAAATAAGGTATCATTTTTAAACATCTATTTAAGAAATAAGGTATCATTTTTTGAGTTTTATTGAGATGTAAAACGGGTTGGTCACGTGATCAAATCCCATAAAGCCCGAAGGGCTTTATGGAAGATTTGATCATGTGCCAACCCGTTTTACATCTCAATAAAACTCAAAAAATGATACCTTATTACTTATATTTACATTTGTGACTTATTCATACTTTATATTTGCCTGATTGTTACTTTTAACGTGTGAAATGCGTTAATTTTTCAAACCCAACGGCATGTATGTAATCCACTAAACGCGCGTCGACCCTTTATGACGTCACAGAGAAATTACGTCGAACGTTTATCCAAACGCACATCTATGACCTCTTGACCCCATACCTGTATTTACACAGTTATAAAAACGCTTGCTTTCAGTAGTGTTATATAAAGGAAAACATTTGCAAATGTAAATATTGGGATATAAATACGGGTTGGTCACGAGATTAAATTCCATAAAGCCCGAAGGGCTTTATGATGAATTTAATCTCGTACCAACCCGTATTTATAGCCCGATAGATGTTTTAAAATGGTATCTTATTACTTATATTTACATTTGTGACTTATTCATACTTTATATTTGTTTGATTGTGACTTTTAACGTGTGAAATGCATTATTTTTCAAACCCAACGGCAAGTTATGTAATCCACTGAACGCGCGTTGACCCTTTATGACGTCACTGAGAAATTGCGTCAAACGATTACGCGGGTATGTTAAGGCAGCACATGGACCAGAATTCGGCGAATTAACACTTTTTTATAATCATGTAACACTAATAAATCGGAAAAGTCAAGGATAAAACTTTTGTTATAATTATGCATTCTACAGACTTCAATGGGACTTATACTACATCACGCACTTCACCACGAGGTCACCACGTGACGTCTATAATTAGAAAATATGCCTTAATGAAAAAGTGAAAAGTTCAACACTACCCCGGGGATAATTAATTTCAATTTGTAATATTAGTTATGTAAAAACATCTCTGTACCATGAAAAGTGCTGCTAGAATCCTACTGTCCTATCACAGAAATAATTATTCAACATTTTTGGACGAAACCTTCCCAAATTTTTTACATTTTGTTCATAACATCGAAAAAAAATGCATTAATTCCCGTAAACCATACGATTCTAGCAGCACTTTCCAAAAACAATAGAATAAGAACTTTAGATAGAAACAAAAATTAAGTTTCAAAGTGTGCGGCGTAGTGTTGAACTTTTGCATCTTATTTGTTACGAACGACAGAGGAAAGGCTGATTGGCAAGTAAACACCCTCCCTGCTTTAATTTAACGAAGAAATTGTAGAAGTATATTACCATACCTTATTCATAAGCTTTATTCCCAAATGAATCAAACAAGTTCTTCATTCTAAATGCTATTAAACTCCGATTTCTTGTGTTTGTTTACATGAATTCACGTTATGTTTCACTTTCACTCTGCTACTGCATGATCAACAGTTATGACGTCACGGGTTTGGTATGTAACCCCTGTGATAACTACAGAGACCCAGAAACGACAAAATTCTGTTTGTATTATGCCTCTGCATATTTTGATTAATTTTTACGACCTCAAATCAATCTAAGATATCGATTATAAGAAATTGTTATCTCTAAACTTCACGTCATACAGCTTACTATGACGTCATATCATATAGGCAAGTAGAATATTTGGTTGTAACCTTAACCTACCTGCGTATCCATACGCACATCTATGACCTCTTGACCCCATACCTGTATTTATACAGTTATAGATACGCATTCCTTTCAGTAGTGTTATATAAAGAAAAACATTTGCAAATGTAAATATTTCCATATAAACAAACGCTCTGCTAACCCTGACTTGCGCAATGTCGGAGTTGACAGAGACAGCCGCCATTTTGGACCCGCTTCAGATTTTCAAATGTTAATATCTAGAGTTTGGATTTATCAATATTCAAACAAATTATACAGTAAGCATTAAAAGGAAGGTTTCTATTAACATTCCAAAAACAAATGAAAAATATTGAAAAACAAAAAAGATAGAAAATATGGACTTTTTAATTTCACTTCCTTTAGCAACCGGAAGTAATAACGACGCACGAAATGGTGATTCCGCAAATCTAGAAGTCATCATCTATCATCTCTAATAAGTCTCAAGTTAATATCTTTAGTCATTTTTGAAAAAAAGGGGGAACAAAAATTCATTTTAAAATCAGAAAACTGTCAATATCTTGGAACCGAAGGTGAGTATTCCAAATTTTTCTTGTCATGCCACAACTTCGTATAATGACACATAATTCCTGAAAGTTTCACTGAAAACCACGGCATAGTTTTCGAGAAATCGCCTGCACAAAATTATGGGGGGAAAAAAAATAATAATAATAAGAAACAGTAGAATCACTATAAGGTCTTCCGTGAAGACGGAAGACCTTAATTATCCACTTTTCTAAACTTTTGACATGATATTAAGGCCTCTCCAAAGAAAAAAAAATTGTTTGTATCATCTGTCCTTAAAAGGACAAGTTTTCTGATTATGAAAAAATATTCATATTCTTTCACTTGATTTAATACACCTAAAATGTCACATACATTATATATGTAGGAAGTAACAATACATGCTTACCGACATTATACTGTAAACCAACTTTTATTTGCGTGCGAGAAATTTTCGCGAAGTTCACGAGAGCCTCGTCATCGCGAATATTTCACACCGCGAACCGGTCCTTATAGTATATTTGTCTATTAAAAACAGATGCAAAAAGGATTGCTCGCGAAAATTAATCGTCGCGAACTACTTTATCCCTAGAAAATCGCGAAATAAAGTCGTCGCGAATAAAAGTTGGTTTACAGTATGCCATTGACATGTACATCTGATCTATTCCATTGACATGAAATTTATAATGTTTATATGTGTTGAATCAATGTGTGCATTTTCAGTCTTTATTTGTCCACTTGATGTACAAATATAAATTCTTCTTGACAGATTAACATTAGTGATTTACTTTTCTTTCTTCCAAAGATCCATAGGAGCAGAATTTTCTAAATATTAAAAATCACACAGAGAGTTTTATTTCAGTTTTTAATTATCATCTGAATCATCTGATTCAAATTAAAGCAATTAGACTTTTGTCACAATCTCAATAAATAAAGATAAGGTGAACACATTTTATGCAACATGTCAGTCATGTAACACATGCATTTATATTCAACAAATGAATTTTAGGAATCTTTATGTGCACATTACGTTCCCTGAATTAGGAGTCTGTCATTTTACTGCTGCCTGGAGATCATAATCAGAGGAGATCTCAAAATATTTTCACAGTCCCTTCCTGAAGTATGGCTTTGGCTAAGTTCTTTGTCAATGTTTCTTTCAACACATCCAATTGTTCTTTTCTAGCTTCTGTGAATCCCTGAAATCAATAAATGCAATGTTAAAAGCTGTATTTGTTTAAATATTGAATCTGGCTTTCATAATTCAATCTATATTATTAGAGACTAGGATAAATCTGATTCCAAAATAAAACTTCCAAAATGTCCATTCTCAAGATACAACTGTAGATTCCTAAATATACGAGAGGAATTAATTATGCCGTAATTTGGCCAGAAGCACCACACACGAAATAAAATTACCCGCCTTTATTTTTATGGTGCTGAAATATATGCAAAATCTATTGATCAACCGTCCATTCACAAATTATTATTCTCACGATTTGAAGTTGAAGAGCCCATTTGCGATAATAAGTACTAGCGAAAAATAAGGAATCTACAGCATTGCATGATTTTCAAAATTACTTTGAGCTAACTAAAAATTCACTTGAGGAAGTAAACCAAAATTGATGAATCAATCTTTTTATAACATGATATTTTTTGAAATGTATATTGTATAACAAAGAGAACATACTAGTCCATCGACTTTCTTTCCCAGACTATACTCTGTGGTCAGTTCCTCAAGGCACTGCATCAGTTCATATGTTTGTTGACTGTTGAAGATGAGCTGTGAAAAATAAAATCCTGAATACCAGGTGCTCAAAAAAACTGGAAATTTACAAGGAAGTGATGCCACTCTCTTGCGTTGTCCGACTATATACAAGAACTGGTACTGACCGCAATTAGGTTGTCAGTTAGTTGCTGTACATAGATTACAGTTGCTAAATACTTAACTTTACTTAAATTTAGCTTAAAAAAAAAAGCTATACCGGCAGGTATTCAAAACTCACCTCTGTTTTTTCTAGTAGAGGTAATGCATCGATTAACAATGTTATCCAAAACCTAAAAAATAATAATACAAGGGCTTTACATTGAAAATGTACATTGAGATGAAGATTATAGAAATTGCATTCCTCATGAATCTTAAAATGTACCCCTACCAGTAAAAAGTCAGCTTTACACAGTATGTAACCTAATCAGAATGACAAAGAACATAGGAAGTGAATATCTTACTGCTTTGGAGCCAGACGAGCTTGTAACAGAGCTAAAAGTAGGTCACCAGCAGCTCGGTACTCCCCCTCAGAATAAAGCTTGTGGAACTCACGATATTTTCCTTAAAAAATTAAAATACCTCATTCAACAAATGACGTAAATCAAAGCTCAAGCAGAGGCAAAGAGTCAAAGAATGAATTTAAATGAGTACTTCATCATGAAACTGTTAAGATGTTTTTTCAATTTGCAGAGTTCTTGAAATCTTTCGGTCCTATCGGCAAGACCAATAAAAACAACCAAGGACCAATTACTTTGCCTTCTGTGTCAGTCTAAATGAGCGGTAAATGTTGACAGAGGAACTTGCGAAAAACTGACAAACTTTCGTACCAATTCCATATAACGTCCGATCGTAATCTTTCAAGCTCTTTTCTGTAATCTTGTAATGGCTTCTTCGATGAACACAAGTGTCAAACTATGATTGGTGAACTTATAAATAAGGTTTGTTGACGGTGCTACGGTAAGCCAAGCCAAGTGAGAAAATCAAACTAGATTAAACACCTATGAAGAAAATTGACCCCCGAGATAATTCAAAGAAAATTGACAATCAAATCAAGTGTGCAGTGTTTCTTGAAACATGATGCACAATGTATTGATAAAAAAATCGAACAAAGTTTTCATCTTTTATTTAATTTTTTTTTGGACTGATAGAAATCTGTCTGGACTGACAAACTTCACATGGCAGTCAGTCCAAATGACTGACAGTGAAAAAAAGATTTCAAGAACTCTGAATTTGTAATTCAAACATACTCAAACACTAATTAGATGAAAAGTTATTATTTCTACAAAAGAAATATGATACAATTTACCAGTAAATAAAATAACTCAAACCTAAAAATGTTAGTCTGTTGCTTAGCAACATGGATGGACCTAGGTGATCTATGAGGTCAAGGTTCGTGAACTCTCCATTTTCACTGTACTCCAGTAAAAATCTGACAGAAAAAAAAAATGTCACACATAAAGGATATACTTTGCTGAACTTATCTTTTTACTGAATTATCATCAGAGCAAATAGAGAAGTAGACTGTTATGCCAAATATACATACTTTTCTGCAAGAACTGTGGCAAACCCAACATCCTGGAAAAACATGAATACAAATTGTAAATTTTTATCTATTAACAATTTTTTATCTATTCTTTTCTCTTAAACTCTTAGTTTTTAAAGCTTTAAAAGAAAATGGAATAAATTACATAAGATCTCAAATCAAATCAAAATTTAGTCAAAGATTTTGGAGATTAGAGGATTAGAGCACATACTAGTATTTTAAAATTATGAGGGTATTACCTCTGGCTTTACGTGTAAAGAAATTATTGACAAAGCATTTCATACATGTAAAATTTTCTAAAATACTGTATTTTTTCTCCTACTTTATCATGAACTTTTACCTTTGACCTCAAAAACCAAGTAAGAGCAGCTCCAAGTCGTTTGTTCTTAATACACCTCATCCCCATCACTTTACAGATACTTTTGGCTAAAAATTATAATAAAAATCATATAAATACAAATCTATTCACAATACAAATATCTTTACAGAAACTTTTGGCTAAAATTCCTAATAAAATCACTACAGAAATCTGTTCATAGTACAAAACTGCTCACAACATTTTTATCCTCGTGCTTTAGCAAGAGGTCAAGATAACTTTACAAGACACATATGGAGGCCACAAAATGGCAATTATCTGCTTTAAGTGAAGACTTATTTTTCTATACCTAACTTTCTCCAAAGAAGTATATCAACATTTACAAGAAATCTAAATCCAGAGTCAGACCCATTCTAAAAGCTGACAAGGCTGTGTGTTCACATAATAAACATGTTGTCTCCCTTACATTGTTCTGTCATGTTGCGATCTTCACAAATCTTCAGAATTTTGTTTGCCTTCCGCTCAGAATCTACTGGGATGTGATCCATATATAATTCAAGGTATTTCCTACAATGAAATAAAATTAAGTAATCTACATGGACACTTTAAAATAAAATTAACACTCTGTAAGCTGACCAACAATTAACCCAATTCTTGTCGATTTAAGATCGTTAAGAAATAAGAATTCAAACTGACCTTCCGAATTCTGCACAATGGTCAAGATAACTAACACCAACTATCCACAAACTGAAGAGAAAAACAAAATAACATTGCACAGTAATTACAAATTCGGATATTGCTATTTGCAAAGGACATTTTTGTAAAGTCTTAAAATTTCAAATACTCTTTATATTTCATCAATTTAGAGAGAGAGAGAGAGCAAAGATTGAGGAGCTCATTTAAGCCCTCACAAAGATGTCAAAAGTATCATTTTAATTGAGGGAATTTCTGAGTACAGTATAATCTCACCTTTCGTGTGACATGAGGGAACTGGCATATTCTAACAGGAGGAACTCCCTCAGATCTGAACCAAATCTGTAGTCAACAGTTATATTACATAATTACGGGTACACAGACAACATAAATTTATCTCCTTTCTCGATGCGACTCCATTTACTGGTTTTTACATTTTATGTATGAAGATACTGTGAACGTATTACATTTAGCAGTGTATTCTTTTCAGCGATTTTGGAGGAAAGCAGAGTCTGCTAATTCAAGTGCATCGCTAAATGTTTTGTATATTAAGGCCATTCCAAGTTTTTTCTATGTTTAGCGTCCGCATGCGCCTTTTTTGACACCCCATATAAGAAAAAATGCACAACATCAAAAGACCTGAAATTGATTAATTTAGTCGAAATTTTTGAATTTTGTCAATTTCTCCAAATAATTCTGTACAGTAACTTATATTGGGTGTATTTTAAGCATTTAATCCCTTGTTTTTGTTTAAGAATAGATATTTCTTCTGTTAAAGCAGTTTAGTTAGATTAAATCATTTGAAGGCCGTGATTTTTATGACTTTTAAGACTGTGTTTTTATGTTTTGGCTTGTGTGTTTTCTGCGAATAGCTAGGTAGGTTTTTGAAAGATGGGTGGACGCTAAACAGAGAAAAAACTTGGAATGGCCTAACTTTTATAACTAGAAAAGTCAGACAGCGCTAAATCAAATCTACGCTAACTTGTTGAAAATTAAATTTCCACCAAATATCGTACACACCAAATTTAATACATTTACAGTATATGAGGATCTTATTTGACTGAACCCATCCTGCAGTGTAAAAAGCTAAAAATTAAAGTTCACATACAACTTTTTGTCACTACAAAGACTTTTTTGTCAGGTTAACTTCAGATAATCAAGTCCAGTGAACTTACTGTAATCTGTGAGTGTCCAGCTGTCCACAATGTTGAAGTAGATCTGTTAGGTGTGCTACGAACCATCCATTACTAAACACTGACCTGACAGGTAAATACAAAAAAATTATAGTAACAAACTCTTTACAAGTACTGAGTAATAAAGGGTACTGATGTACTTACTCAAGGTTATTATACACACCATGGAGTAACTACTCAATTAACTTTCTTGCCAACAAACTTTAAAACATACCAAAGGGATATATAAAAGTTTTTCGCAATTAACATCTGATAAGATTACATCTGATAATAAATTGGGATCTTATGCTGCAGCAGTACAGAACTTTACAATGAAGGTTGTTTCTACATTAAAAGTTGCAGCAGAGCCCCCCCTTCTCTTTCCAGAATTAAAATTTGCCTGGAGTATCTGAGACATTACCTGCTGTCCTTGATGACTTGGTACACGTCAGACTCGAGCGTGGACCGTAAAATATTGTCTAGTTCTCCCATCCTTGTACTGCTCCTATACTCATCCTGACATCTCTATAGTATCAGAAACAAGATGAATAGATATGCGTATAAGTCTTTTATTTTAATTCACATAAAAAACCATATTTAAATCAAATATGCTTATATAAATTATCAAAATCCAAGCACTCCACACACCCTACTGAAAGCTGCCTGCCCATCATTAACTTTTAAAGATTTAAAGATTTAAAGATTACATACATGTATAACCCATTTTAAATCCCAATTTTGTCTGCCTTCAACCTACCGGTAATATGAAATTTGTAAATTGTTAATTATACCTGGATATAATAATGAAGATCACAGGCTTTAATTGTGGGGTCCTGGTAGAGGGCTTTAGCTATCAGCATGTGATACCAGGGGTCACAGAAGTCCTTCACTTCACTGAACACCGCGTCCTCGCCACACAGAATCTACACAAACACAATCAATATAGTAAAACAACAGGTAGTTTTTAAAAAAAATTTCTATGACCATTCCTATTAATGTTTCTGGTCTTCTGATAAAAGAAGAATTTATAAACTGCACAATCGTTACCCTGACTACTGTTTCCAGATTTGCGTTCGTGGAGAACTTTTGTTCCTCGTAGTTCCTTTGACATTCATCTCTCCAGTGTCGCCACTTCATGTCAAACTCCGCCACTGAACTACCCCTGTATAATTGCTGTAATGGAACAAAATATTATCATACAGTTTTAATGTCACCAAACTACCCCTGTATAATTGCTGTAACGGAACAAAATACTGTGTAGAGGAAAGTTTTCACCCCGGTTTAATTTTTCCCCTTTTCACCTTCTTCATGAATGGGCAAATTTAAAATGGGATGAATTCATAGAACATAGCATAATTTTATAAACAGAACTATGACTGGGCAAATTCAAAATGGGGCAAAATTGTTCGCAAGTGCAAAAAGCAAAATTAACACAGGGCGAAAATAACCCTGTATGCAGTAGTATCATACAGTTATAATGTCACTGAACTACCTGTTTAAATGCTTGAACAGGGAAAAATATACAGGTATAATCAAACTTAAGGTCAAACTCCACCAGTGAACTACCCCTGTATCAATCTCATTGTCAAAATTTAAATGTTTACATGATTCCATAAACTAAAAGTAAACAAGTTCTAAATTTTAAGTTCAAAACATCTATCAAAACTGCATCAGCTAAAACAGGGTCTGATGATTCTTGGCTTCATACTACAGTATGTCAGTTAAGAGCTGTACATGAAAAAGCCAACGGATGGATAGAGAGACAGTTGAATTGACCTGAATGCCACACCAAATTACTAAGCATCATAGACTGATGTATAAAAACACAACACTTCTACTGCACCAAATACAGTGTTTACATATATTTTTAAAAAGAAATATTTTTCATAATCACACTGGTATACAGAGACATCCTATCCCTACATTATTGAAATTCAAGGTTTTGGCCACAGTTTCATTTCACTTTTTAAAATTTCCTACATGTAAATTTTTGTTTTTAATTTATGATTTCAAGTCCTTAACCGCAAACACTTACTGTCAGAAGTGGCATTCTCTTGAGTAAGCTGATCAGGGTTTGGAAGTCTTCAGTCT